ACCGCACAAAACCGATCCGCGAACACCCCTACTTGCTACTATAAATAGGCTCCAAACATATTTTCATTTCACTTTTCCTCCTTTTTCCTCTCTCTTAAACCGCGAGTTCTCTTCTCTCTCTCTCTCTCTCTAAACTCAAGCTTTTGGCACTAAGACCTCTAAATCTACTCACCTAGAGTGATCTTTTCACCATGGTCCTTTGAGAAAAAGTGAAGATCTTGTCAAGGGCATCCTTTTGGTTTGAATAGTTCGTGGTTTTGTCGTCAGTGATTTTGGGTCGTCATCTCTTTGCTTCAAGAGGTAGGGGTTTCTAGTTCTCTTTCAATACCCTCATTTATAGATAGATTTGTGGTATTTTCTTTATATAAATACAAAAGTTCACATTTTTATGCATATTGTGAGGAATCATGAGATTGGGGGGTTAGGGTTTGAAGAGAGTTGGGTTTATTTGTTGGGTTATGATCTTCGGTCATGAGTTTGGGTGTAAAAGTAATAGAAGGGTTAGAATAAAATATGTTTTGTGAAAAGTTTTAATTTCTCTTAAAAACTCTAGTTTGGCTCATGAAGATGGTTAATGGTTTTGCTTCAATTAATAGTAGAATCATGAAATTAAGGTGTTAAATTACATATGTACAAGTTTAATTAAAATTTTAAAGAATTTGAGAAATTTATCTAAAAGTTGCGATTGAACTCATAATGTTAATATTTTAAATTATGCTACAATATGAAACCAAACTTGAGGGAAAAGAAATTACTAATGGTATGGATGATATAAGCTTTGTGTTGAAATGGTTGTGTTGAATTTTATTGTGTGTTTTGTGAATTGTATTGGGTTATGTTGTGTTGAGTTGGTTGAGTTGTGTTGTGTGGAGTTGAGTTGTATTGGGTTGAGTTTAGTTGTGTCGTGTTGGATTGTGTTGCGATTGGTACCCGCGCGGGAAGTTGAAAAATGGTTTTTCGGTCCCCACGACCGTCCGTATAATAACCGGTAAATGTGGGGAATGATTTTAAAAATTGAAAAATGATTTTTCAGTACCTATGACCGTCCGTATGATAGTCGATAAATGTGGGGGTGGTTTGAATTCAAGATACCCAATTGCCCTGTCTAGGCTTATCGCTGGACGAATGTGGGAAAAATAATTTTTGGGTGTCTACACAGTCCGGCCGTATTATAGCCAGCGAAAGTGAAAAAATGATTTTTGGGTGTCCACACAGTCCCACCGTATTGTAGCCTGCAAAAGTGGAAAAACGAATGGTTTTTGAAAATGTTTTGGGTGCCCATGTCCTGCGGTATAATAGTCGGCAAATGTGGGAGAATGATTTTAAAAAGTTGAAGATGATTTTCGAAAAAAGACCAAGTTTTTGAGAAAATGATTTTTGGGAGTTCACTTCCCGCTGTATAATAGTCGGCAATAGGTGGAATGTGCTATGAATTGGGTGCCCGCTATCTTGCCGTATCAAGTCGGCAAAAGGTGGAATGTGTTGTGACGTGTGTTGAGGTCGGTGATGATATGTTTGACTTGTGATGAACTTACGAAATTACCATTTGATGTGTAATTTAATATGAAAGGGGAATGTATATGGAAATTATTTGAAAAAAATGGATAATAAAATGGTAATTGGATAAGGGGTTAGTGATAAACAACTCACCGGGTTGTTTGTATCTATAAGGAAAGATTAAGAGTTTTGCTTTGTGATTAATTGAGAAATTGAATTAAAAAGAGTTTATTATCCTTGGGATGTGTTGAGTTATAATTGATAATGCAAATGTGGATGTGATGTAATTGTTCTTAGATTTCTACGTTAAAGAGTTATAGCAATAAAGGATTGACAGGTGGAAATGGAGTGTATGAGGGTTGTTTTGAGTATTAAGGGAACATGAACTTGAGGTTATGGAGTTTTAATGAATGCAATTAGTAAAATGGGAGAATGGAAATAAAAAGATGAATGTTAAGATGGAAATTAAATGAGGAATATTTTAGAATAGGTTAATAAATTTAAAATGATGTTGTTCCTTAAATATATTTATTTTTTTTAAAAAAAGGATTTATGATTTTCTGATAAAAAAAGGATAGTTTTTTATGGTTGAAGGTTTTCCTTAAATGTTCAAATAAATTTTCAAAAAAAGGTACTTTAAGTATGATATTTTGAAATTATAAAACATTACTTTACTATATGCTATCACCCTGCATGCATGATCATTTCTATTTATAGGATGGTTATTGATTTTGAACTATGAGATTCCTACTGAGCAATTGTGCTCACCTCTCGTCGTTTCATTTTTCTTACAGGACTATAATTCGGATTGATTGGTTGGAGAGTTAAGAAGTTCATGTACCTCTTATGTGTAATCTTATTAAACATGGATGCTTGTATTTATTTATTTATAACTCTGTAGTTGAAACTTGGCATGCATTATTATTATTGTTGTATTCATTGCGAGAGGACATGTATTATTATGTTTCTATTACTCAAGAGTAATAGATATTGGTAAAAAAAAAAAAAAAGGACCTAATTTACAAGCTTTAGGTAATGTTTTCGAGTCATTAAAATCAGAGCGTGATAGCAAGACTATCAATTTCATGGTGGGGTTAGAATTAGAAATTGAGTGAGGAGATTAGTGAATTTTAAAATAATTTTTATACAAAATTTATATGTTTTAGAACAAAAGAAAAAAAAATTATAATATTAAAAAAAACTAACAATTAAAATATATTAATTTTATATATTAATACTAGTATTACTAATTCGGTAGTGTGTAAATAAATACTTTTTATTTTATAACTCCAATTTAATATCACCACACTAATAATCTCTTTACTTAATTTCACCATATTCTTAATCCCTTTCATATTACGAAGTCAAATAACCATGACTCAAGGGAATTTTATTTTCTCGGCCAATCAGACTTGATTTGAACACCACGTGGCAGTGCTATAGAGCACCAGATAACTTCTTGTCACCACCGCCTCTGTTTGGATTTGACCAGATCTTTCTCGTTAATTCTGGATTATTCCTATCCTCGCGAAATCGGCTCTCCATTCCTATATAAATATCCAGAAATGCGCCGGACCCCAGCAAATGCCACCTCCACCGACCTCCAGTGTCACGTGGCACTGCGAGATTGAAAAAAAAGAAAAAAAAACACAAAAAACTGACCAATGGAGGCCCACTACGTCACTGGGGTCGACCCCAGTGGAGTCTGTAGCAGCACTCATAAAAGAATTCGAAAATTACCCTTATTTTTTTATTTTTTATTTTTTATTTTTGGTGTGCGTATGTGTGTGATTCAAGAGAAAAAGTAGCAATAGACAGTAAACAAAAAAAAAAAAAAAAAAAAAAAAAAAACGCATTATTACAAGAAAATCATGAAATAAAAACCTGTCTCAATACTAAAACCTTTTGGTTCTTATGTTATACAATATTGTTTAACAAAACCACACTTATACGTTTTTTTTTTTTTTTTTTTTTTTATAAACCGTTTTCTATTCTTAAATGGGTTGGCAAATATTTTTTAGTGCATTTTTAATATTTTTTAAAAAAATAAATATTAAAAAATTAATACATTTGTTAAATGTTAATATATATATATATGAAAAGTTTTTTTTTTTTTATCAACTAAATTAATAATTGTTATTGTCAGACTCATAAGTTGTATGACATAAATATGTGATTTATGTGATTGTATCAGTGTTGGCCATCTATCAATTGCTAATATTTTAGTCATTGTTCATGGTTAGTTTAGTATATTTCTACTGGGCTGTGGCTCATCTTATATGGGAACATCATTTTCAGGTACTGGAAGCATGCCACCTCCAAGGACATAGCTGGGAGGCTAGTGGCGGACATACTTTTGTCGCTTAACTTTTGATGTATTACATGTAACTTCAAGCCTAGGGCTTAATGTGTAAACGAGTTAGTACTCTTTTGTTGTAACCAAGTGTTAACTTGGAAAGCTGTAAGCCCGTAGGGCATTTTGTTTTGATGTTAACATGTAATACTTATGTAATGGAACTCTAATGAATAAAAGAATGTGGTTAGTTTATATGTAAATGCATGTCTTATCAGATGGGTTTAATGTTGTTATTTTGATGGCGTTACAGTTAAGAAGTTCATGTACCTCTTATGTGTAATCTTATTAAACATGGATGCTTGTATTTATTTATTTGTAACTCTGTAGCTGAAACTTGGCATGCATTATTATTATTGTTGTATTCATTGCGAGAGGACATGTATTATTATGTTTCTATTACTCAAGAGTAATAGATATTGGTAAAAAAAAAAAAAAAGACCTAATTTTCAAGTTTTTGGTAATGTTTTCGAGTCAGAGCGTGATAGTAAGACTATCAATTTCATGGTGGGGTTAGAATTAGAAATTGAGTGAGGAGATTAGTGAATTTTAAAATAATTTTTATACAAAATTTATATGTTTTAGAACAAAAGAAAAAAAAAATTATAATATTAAAAAAAACTAACAATTAAAATATATTAATTTTATATATTAATACTAGTATTACTAATTCGGTAGTGTGTAAATAAATACTTTTTATTTTATAACTTCAATTTAATATCACCACACTAATAATTTCTTTACTTAATTTCACCATATTCTTAGGGATTGTTTGGAATGACCTAAATAAATGCACTTTTTATCTTTTTATAAAAAGATGTACAGAAAAGTAGAGAGATGATGTAATAAAAAAAAGATAAAAAGATAAAAAATGTGTACTTATTTAGGATAGTCAAACTTAGTCTTAATCCCTTTCATATTATGAAGTCAAATAACCATGACTCAAGGGAATTTTATTTTCTCGGCCAATCAGACTTGATTTGAACACCACGTGGCAGTGCTATAGAGCACCAGATAACTTCTCCTCACCACCGCCTCTGTTTAGATTTGACCAGATCTTTCTCGTTAATTCTGGATTATTTCTAGAGTTATGCTAGCATTCCAAACAAATTCCAAATAAATTACCAAACCTATCGCATTTTCCTTATTCCTATCCTCGCGAAATCGGCTCTCCATTCCTATATAAATATCGCACCTCTCTTCCACCTCGTTCACATCAGATTCCCAAGTCTCCATTTACAATCTCTCCGTTTTCAAAGCCAAACCAAAAATCTCTGAAGGTAATTTAGTCATCTTTTCGATTCTAATTTCAATAGTTGTTGATATAGATAGATCAATTGTATTTGATTTCTCGTTATCCCCAATTAACAGATGCAGATCTTTGTGAAAACCCTTACTGGCAAGACGATCACTCTCGAGGTCGAAAGTTCTGACAAAATATCGCACCTCTCTTCCACCTCGTTCACATCAGATTCCCAAGTCTCCATTTACTATCTCTCCGTTTTCAAAGCCAAACCAAAAATTTCTGAAGGTAATTTAGTCATCTTTTCGATTCTAATTTCAATAGTTGTTGATATAGATAGATCAATTGTATTTGATTTCTCGTTATCCCCAATAACAGATGCAGATCTTTGTGAAAACCCTTACTGGCAAGACGATCACTCTCGAGGTCGAAAGTTCTGACACGATCGACAATGTCAAGGCGAAGATCCAAGACAAGGAAGGTGTTCCGCCGGATCAACAGCGCTTGATCTTCGCCGGAAAACAGCTCGAGGACGGCCGTACCCTCGCCGATTACAACATCCAGAAGGAATCGACTCTCCATCTGGTTCTGAGGCTCCGCGGTGGTATGCAGATCTTCGTCAAAACCCTAACCGGAAAGACGATCACTTTGGAAGTCGAGAGTTCTGATACGATCGAAAACGTGAAAGCGAAGATCCAGGACAAGGAAGGAATTCCTCCCGATCAACAGCGTCTGATCTTCGCCGGAAAACAGCTGGAGGACGGCCGTACTCTCGCCGATTACAACATTCAGAAGGAGTCCACGCTCCACCTCGTGCTCCGCCTTCGCGGTGGTATGCAGATCTTCGTGAAAACCCTAACTGGCAAGACGATTACGCTGGAGGTGGAGAGCTCCGATACGATCGATAACGTGAAGGCTAAAATTCAGGATAAGGAAGGGATTCCTCCGGATCAGCAGCGTCTGATCTTCGCCGGAAAGCAATTGGAGGATGGCCGTACTTTAGCCGATTACAACATCCAGAAGGAGTCCACGCTCCACCTCGTCCTCCGTCTCCGCGGCGGTATGCAGATCTTCGTGAAGACTCTCACCGGAAAGACGATTACTTTGGAGGTCGAGAGCTCGGATACAATCGACAATGTCAAGGCAAAGATTCAGGACAAGGAAGGGATTCCACCGGACCAGCAGCGTTTGATTTTCGCCGGTAAACAGCTTGAAGATGGTCGCACGCTCGCTGATTACAATATTCAGAAGGAATCTACGCTTCATTTGGTTTTGCGATTGAGGGGAGGTATGCAGATTTTTGTGAAGACTCTGACTGGGAAGACAATCACTTTGGAGGTGGAAAGTTCGGATACGATTGATAATGTGAAGGCAAAAATTCAGGACAAGGAGGGGATTCCTCCTGATCAGCAGAGGTTGATCTTTGCTGGTAAGCAGTTGGATGATGGTCGTACTCTAGCTGATTACAACATACAGAAGGAATCCACCCTCCATCTTGTGCTTCGTCTTCGCGGTGGAAATGTCTGAAAGCTTGGGTGGTCTAGTTATTTCATCATCTTAGCGTTTGAGGGTTGATGGGTCTGTTATGAACCTGTTAATCTGGACGTTTGAATTGTTCTTAATAATAGAATCTTTGTGAAATTTGATATAATCTCTCTCTCTCTAGATATATGAGTTGCTTTAATGTTTGCTTATATTGCTTTAGCGCAAGATAGTTGTGATTTTGTTCAACTAAATTTGAAACATAAGATTACAGTGTAAAGCTTGATTCTTAGTTTTTTTTATTTCTTTTATATTTAAAACAATAGTTTTGGTATTATAATAAAATAATATTTATGTGGTCTCATTTTTCTCAATTTCTCTCCATTTTGGAGAGATTGAAAATAGTGATTATGAGGGAAATGTGTTTCTTTCAATTTGTTTCATATTTGGCAATCTAAGCAAGGGATTGAAATTATTTTCATTTCTTTTCTTTTCTTTCCAAACAAAGTGTTAATTTCGGAGCCTTCAAAGGTGAAGAAGAATTGCATCACTCTGCTACAATCATTTCTGTAATTTAGGTTTAGGAAGTTCCATTGGTTTATAACAGGTCACTTTGTGAAATTCATTGATGCTCATCTCCATTGGTTGGTTTTGATGTGTATGTGGGGTTGTGCCATCTCTATCTACATACATTAGTTGATGTACTTATTTTGATCCATGTTATGTCTATAGGTGGTGACAAACTCACAATTTACTATCGGTTCAACTTTGATTCCAAACCATAATAGATTTTGATTCATATGATATCATGGAGTTTCTAGGGGGTGAAGGATTGAGGTGCTTACTAGAATATTTTTTGAGACAGGAGATTGTTTTTAAGTGATGATTTTTTGGCATAGCACCATCAACAAAATGTTACGAGTGTTCATGAGTTTTGACTTCTTTCAATTCCAATTCCAGGTTCACACTGGCATTCATTAAGGAAGATGAAACCCAAATATTAGGTTAGCTTGGTTGCCTAAAGTAAGCCGTGGAGTAGCCATCTATTATATGATGAAATTTTGTCTGTAGGACATAAGGGAAAAGAGGGAGGTAAGTGGATTAGGAAAATGAAATAATCAAGAACAGGTTGTATTGAATGCCATGGAGGCTTGGAGGGAATGAAGGATTGAGAGAGAAATTTGGGAGAGGAGATTGCTAGTAAACAATGATTTATGATTTTTTGCACCAGTGATGATGTGAGTAGGTCTAGTCTTCTATGATTCTCTCAAGACCAAAATTCCACTCTCATACTCTCTCAAGCTTTTCTATTCTACTACCGGATTTAAGTTTTGAGGTTTGACATAAGTATGTCATTTGGGAGATAAAGTTCACTTTCTTAGCAAGTTTTTGGCTCACCCAGGAAAGGTTTTCAGTCATCTTGGTTGATGGAAAATTATTAGATATCCTGCAGTATACGTTGATCTTTTGTCACTCCAAAGAGGGTTAAATGAGAAACTTTTGTTAATTGTCTAACAAAAGTGAGACATTGTATAATTTGATAATCTAAATAGACAACAATCAATTATTTCAAGTCAACAATACAAACTCATAAACCTAACATTAACTAAGAGCCCTATAATAAAAAAGAAATAAACAATTGAAGAGAAAATTGACTCTTGACCTTTTCAGTCTTAGCTGTGGAAAACCTAAGCATGAAAGTTGTCCGCTAACGAAAAATCTAAAATTCTGTACAAAGTGTTGCAACATTTGAGTTTGTTTGTCTTTTGCATTTCATCCAATCGTTTTCTGTACTCAAATTCTTGCTCCTCTGAAACCAGCGGAGGGAATGTCAATTTCATGGTGAGCATGAGGATCCGGAGGGAATGAGCTCATCTCCTGACCCTCTGTCTCTGGTTGCACCTCCAAGTCACGGTTTCTACCATGGTGAGACCGTGGAGGAGCATCATCATGGTGACACGAGTGGGAGGGGGAAAACGAGCCCTCATTTTCTGAGTATTCGTTGTCGAAGTGGGAATTCCTGGAAGTGGTATGGACGCTGTCGATTTCACTACTGCGATAGTGGCGGAGAAGATGAACAGGGGACATGCCGTGCTGGTGAATTACAGGTCTGCTTGGTGATGGAGGCACCGACCCGTCTGTGAGGCGGTTGTTCTGTTTTATGTGTTTTTTTGCATTGTAGTGCCAGTTTCTTAGAGCCTTTGCTACCTTCTCATTGAAGATGGTTGGCTTCATAGTTGTACCCATCTGTTTTATTTATGTACATAAAAAAAAGTTAAAAAAAATAACATCTACATAATTAATAAGATGGGAAATTTGTTTATGGTTGAATTGAGTCAAATTTTATTTTATTTTAATCTTTTTTTCAGAATCTAACCTGAGTGACCAATGCATAGAGTGGGAGAGTGACATAGCTGCAAAGTATTTGAATGACAACCCTGACCAAATCACAGTTACATGGGGGCATCATTAGGGTTCTCTTGTATTTGAATGTAATTATTAATGCTTCTAATTCATCAATTAATTAATGATATACTCTGTTCACTTACCCCATTGTTAACCTGATGACTATGTCCACCACATTTTCATGAAAGCAAGAACGCAAGCCAAATTCATACTGCCCAAAAAAACAAAAAGCGAAAACAAAAAAGGTCAAAAATTTATGGAACAAGAATTAGGAATTTGAGAAGGAAATTAATTAATGGTTGTGAATGGTGAAATGGCTTACCCATGCCCATGCAAAGAAGGCCAGTTGAAATGCATTCTGCCAAAAAAAAAAAAAAAAATTTGCATTCTGCAAAAGTTAAATTATTAAAAAATTTACTAAAGTCTAAAGACATACAAAAAAATACATTATCGTTGTGTCATTTTAATCCTTATAATTTCAATTAGTTTAATTTTGACTTTTAATTTTAGATTTTGCGTTGATTTGGTCCAACTAGTAATGCTATTTGGATTTTTGATAGAAAATTTTTACTGAATTGATTGAGTTTATAATTTTTTTTATTTTTTAACAATATCACTCTTAAAAGCATGACAAATACCGTTCATCCGCGTATTTGTCAAAAAAAAATAAAAAAATACTAACAATTGAAATTAATTAGATCAATTTGAGAGAGAGTCAAAAAATAAATATTAAAATTGATCCAATTAAAATTACAGAGACTAAAATGATATAAGGTTTAAAGTAGACAGACTATCAGTATGATTTGTTCAAAAATAATAATAAACTCAAAAATTATATTTGAAAATTCAAAACCAAAGAGAGTAAAGATTTATTGTGTGGATTTTTTTAAAAATTGGAAAATATAAAAGAGTGTTAGATGGTGATAAGAAAATAATACCTGAAAGAGAACAAAGTGGATGAGATAGAGAAGGAGACGTGGGCGGTTGAACCAGAAGAGTTCATCACCTGGCTCCACCACTGGTGTTCCTTTTACTACACCTCCTCTCTCTTCTATTCTTAACCCCATCTTTGTTATGATTACTTGCAGTTTTGTCCCTACTAGTAGAATTATCTGCATTCAGACCCCCCACACACATTAATTTAATTGAGTGTTACAAGATTAATCACCCCTCCATGACCATTGGATGAAAATTAGATCCAATGGTTAGAAATTGTTATGCTTACAATCAGTGGGATGAAGGGTAGCCACAAATAGGAATACAAGCCTGCAGACAAACAAAACCACATTATTAGCTTTCCAAATATTTCTTATTACTGAAAATGTCAAAAACTGTGTAAAAAGTATATAAAAGTGTATTGAAATGTGTATAAGTATTTTAAAATATGTGAAAAGAATATTGAGATTATAAATATTTTGACATTTAGTGTTTATTATTGATAGCGTTGTATAAATGGCCCTTCGTTTGTGTTTTTGTTTTTCATATTTTCAATAACAAAAACAATAACAAATTTAAACACGTTTACGTTACTTTTTATTTGGTGTAACTTCTTACAAGTTGATAATTAGTTCTCCCTCATTTTTTTTTAATAATCAACTTATTTAAGTTATTTTTTTCACATAAGTTATAAAATTACTAAAATAAAAAAGAAGTTATAAGCATCTAATAAACTACACCAAACAAGGCGCAAGAACCGTTTTCAAAAATTCAAAAATAAAATTACCTTGTTTTGAATTTAAATTTGTTTTTCCAAAAATAATTCATCAAATAAATTTCATTGTAACTAGTGGCAACATAACACGTTAAGAGTGAGCTTATAAGGCCTAGTTTGGGAAGACTAAATAAGTGCATTTTTTGACTTTTTATGAAATATGGGTTGGGTTTGGGTTGGGTTTGAAGTGATGTGTTAGAGAGATGATGTGACTTAAATAAGATGATGTGACTTAAATAGGATAGTGACTGTTTGACTTTTTATCTTTTTTCAATCATGCCAAACTTGGCCTTAGAATAAGTAATGGAAAAATTAACCGGGGGTATTTTTGCTTACCATGGGTATTAAACAGTAGGAATAATACTGCAAAGAGCCAGATTAATGGGCTGCAAAAATGTGAAATGAAAGTAATTAATCGATTTGAATCTGAATCATTAGAGAATGATGTTTCTGTTTAACTACGATTAACATGGCTTAGTTGTCCCTTACTTTTCTACCCCATTGTATTTGAATGATTAAATTTTGTTCTAAAAAATGGTTTAATAAGTACTTTTACACTGTGTTTGGTTGGGGGATTTAGGGAGGGATTTGGAAAGGGAAAGGGAAAAAGTGTGTGAAACTATGTGAAATATAAGCATGATTTATTCACATTTCACCTACCTTTTCCATAGGTATTGCGACATCCGTTCAAAAGAATTTAAATGAAACACTTTATTGGAAAAACTATTTATCACCCAAAAAAAAAAAAAAATCCTCAAAAATGAAATATATGTGTAGATGTAAATAAATCTGAGTCGCCCATTTTATTTTTAAAATAAATTTTTGAGTAATATTGTTGATATTCAATTGTTCAATTGAAGACCGACCTGATCCCAACAACAACCTTGAAATCCTCTTCAAGTGATCTTTGGATGTACTTCTGGAAATCAAAATTAGTTTGACCTTGTGGTGCCAAATGTGCCTGAAAATACCAAATATATTTAATAATTAACTATATAATAGAAGGATTTTGATGGGTAATTTGAGGATATAAAAATGATTTGTGTGGAAAACTTACAATAATGAATCCATGGCGGAGAGTCAAGTAATCAACCTTTGCAATTGATCTAACGAATTGTCTGAAGAAACAAGCCTACAATTTCATAGAATTCCCATTAATAAATCCAAGTATTATTTGTCTTCAAATTTTTTGCTCCTTTATTTTCAATGCACTACTAATTGCACGATTATGTCTTGAGGATTGTGAGTTTGAATGTGTCATCTAAAAGTCATAATTCAATAACAAAGAAGATGACAAATAAACAATAGATATATAAAGTAGAAATAAAATGAGAATGTTTTTGAAAAGTCTTACAATCCAACGAAGAATGGGAGAGTTGCTCCAAAAGTTCAAATGCCTTCTCCCAAACGTTGTCTCTCTTGTGTACCTGAACCTCTCTGGATCTGCAAAATTCAATACCCATCATTGATCTCGTTAATAATTAGATAATAATACATGATTTCATCACATTACTTCTAAAGAAATGAACTATATATTTTTAAAATCATATTGATCGTCTATCAATAAAATTATATGAATAATACACACATAAAACTTAGAAGATTAACTATTCATATCATAATTTTAGACCATGTAATATGGTCCAATTGACTACAGTCGAGGAGTCTAGTCCATCTATCCACGTAGAGAGAAGTTAGACCCATTATTAATTAGGAACACTTTTTTAGTTTTTATTTTATATTTTTTTATTGTAACTAAAGGGTTATTATGGTCAAGTTATTTTAGGAAACAAATTGGAAGTTTTAAGAAATCTCATGAACTGAGAAAATTTATTCAAAAAAATGTTTATAATTTGAATGTATAATTACAGATTAAAAATTTAATATAATGTGGATTACACCTAAAATAATTTCAATCCACGTATTTCAATTTATTATTTATTTATTTTAATTTTTTTTTGGGCAAATTACACTAACCGTCCTTATAATTTGGGACTTGTATCATTTTAATCTTTGACTTTTCAATTGTGACACATTGGATCATGAATTTTAAATCTTGTTCCAAATAAGGATAATTGAAGATACCATTGTTCAATTTCAAGGGCATAGTAGTCAATTTTATAAAATATAAACTAATTTGACAAAAATAAATGTTAAAAAAATATTTTTCAATTTAAAAAAAATTTCTACCCACTAAAGATAAAATTATATAAAATTGATAAATATTTTAGACATTAATTTTTTTTTACCATATTAATTTTTATTATGTGCTTGAATGATGATCATGTAATAGGTGGTTGTTAAGCTTTTACTGTGTAATCAATATATTTAATATATCAAATATTTTTAGTTTTAAATTTTTTGATTTAATAGATTGGTTTAATAATGATATCAAAGTTGTCGCTATATTTGACTTTTGGAAAAATAGCAACTAATTTAATGAAAATAAAAACAATCACCCATTACATGATCATTATCAAAACACATAATAAAAATTAATTTGGTAAAATAAATAAATAAATAAATATCTAAATTTTTTTTTATCAATTTTACATAATTTTATTTTTAATAAGTAGAAATAAATTTTAAAAATTTAAAAATATTTTATTGACATTTATTTTTGTTAAATTAGTTTATATTTTACCAAATTGACGATTTTTCCCTTGAAATTGAGCAACAGTATAATTAATTATCCTTATTTGAAATAAGATTCAAAAATTAAGATCAAATATGTTATAATTGATAAATTAAAAAATAAAATGACACAAGATTCAAACTATAAAAACTGTCAGCGTAATTTTTTCTCTTTTTTTTTTCGAAGTATTGCTTGGGAAAGAAGAACCCACCATGTGTGAATTGGTACTCAGTTGTCCTTGTTTCCATTTCCCAGGATTTCCACTTTTTCATCTGCATTCCATTCAAGTTCATTTACAAAGCTTAAATTATAAAGACTGTCAGTGTAATTTTTTCTCCATTTTTTCAAAGTATTGCTTGGGAAAGAAGAACCCACCATGTGTGAATTGGTACTCAGTTGTCCTTGTTTCCATTTCCCAGGATTTCCACTTTTTCATCTGCATTCCATTCAAGTTCATTTGAATTACTAGATATGGTTACTCTCACAAATACCTCATTAGAAAAAAAAATAATAATAATAATAAATAGAGTGAGAGATGAATAAAATACCTTTGCTTGGCCTAGAGCCAAGGTGATTAGACAATAAAGCACGTGGAAAACAGCCAATACAAATATGAAAATGTGGAGTTGGTGGATGCCGTATGTGGAAACAAAGGGAACTTGACCCTGCAAAAAGTGCAAACTAAACACACCTCAAATCTCAAACTTCATTTACAAACTTGCATAGCATAATTTGTTTCAAGTTTTTATTTATTATTTATTTATTTTTTGGGTTAATTATACTAATGATTCTCAAAGCATACACTTTGTTATAATTCAATCATTAATCTTTTAATATTTTCACTTTGGATCTCAAATTATGCAATCTATTAATTTTAATTTTTTTTTTTATCGGCAAATGTTACTTGTTAATTGTTAGATTAGCACCTATAAGAGAAAATCTCTTCACCCTTGACAAAGCATCTAAGTGTTTGTACTTCCTTAATTCAACCTCCTAAGGAGAATTGAACCTATGACCTCCTTGGGACTAAGTCCTAAGGAAGGCATGGTGGCCAACTAAGCTAGGCCTAGTTGGTTCTATTCATTTTAATTCTTAACGTCAGGGTCATTCAAAATTCGGGGAGACGTTTAAAATTTTACGCGAAATACAAAAAATAAAGTATCACTACAAAAAATTAAGGTTTTAAAGACCAAAATTTAGGGACAAAATTATTTTTTAGGGACCAAATATTTTTGTTGTGAAAAGTGTCGTCATTTTATTTTTAGCAACAAAAATTAGACATTAGTGATGAATTATTATCCTTTTGAAACCAAATTTTTTGTCTAAAAAAAAAATTATTTTGAAACTAAATTATTTTGTCCCTAAAAGTCTTAGTGACATTTTCAAAATTTTGTCGCTAAAAATCTTATTTGTGATTTTTCGGAACGACCTTTTAGCGACTATCCTCATGACGATGGAAATTAGTGTCTAAATATATTTTGTAACAAAATTTTCACTTTTAGAGATCAAAATATTTAGTTTCTGAAACTCTTATATGTTGTAGTGATATTGGGAACCAAAATGCAACAAAAGACATACATTGGAGATCAAAATAAAACAGAATCCATAATTTTATAACAAAAATGCAACAAAATTCTTACTTTGGAGACCATGCATATATTTTTAGTCTTTTTAATTTTACTAAGACTTCATTTAAAATTTCAAAATTTCCATTATTAATTTTAAAATTAACACCAAATAAATACTACAGTGTAGCATATCGCATATTTTGGGGGACCAATATAGAAAATTAAATGATTGAAAACTAAAGTGTATAAAATTGCATACATTAAAGACCATTAGTGTAATTAATCTAATTTTTTATTCAATTTGATTAATTAAATCCTCCATTAATTAATTCATTCAGATTCCAAAGACATGAACAAAACTACTAAAAAAAACCTGACCCACATAAAGGAAAATCGTAAATCAACATAAAAACAAAAATATCATAATAATTATTCAAAAAATTAGGGTTTTGATTAGGGAAGCAAAATAATAATTATCTCTTGCCTTGGCTCCACATTTGTCATCTTTTGGACTGGCCAAAACACGTCGTTGATTTTCACCGGTGTCTTCCAAAAATGCAAGAAGGTTTCTCCGGCTATTGTCACCAGAATATTTCTTTGTAACACCCTGGTACTTGTTCTCTTGCCTCTTACTGCATGGATGCCAAGTTGCTCCAATGGCCTTTGATACACAAATTCCAGATATGGGTCCTTGTCCTACTGTTAGGAGCAAAGATATGAACCCTAATAGCATAAGCTCTGAGAGAGAGAGAGAGAGAGAGTTAAGTTTCTATCTAGTGTACCCATCATGACAAGTGAACTAGCCATAGTTCTATGTTTTATATATGGGATTATAAAAAGAAAGTAACCTGATTTAATCTTTTCTAGTGCTTCATAGAGAGCCTTTTTGTTTCTCTTTGTTAACCACTGCCAAAATAAATAAAAATTTATGAGATATACAAAAAAAAAAAAAAAAAAAAAAAAAAAATGGAAATGAAAGAAGTATAGAAAAGAAAAAATTTCAGTGAAGCCATTTTTTTAGGGCAACAAAGGTATCGGAAGTTTTGTCCCATTTAATTTCGGAGTATATGCAATGAATTTTTGTGAAGAGGTTAATAAATAATTTATACAAATTTTACATAAAAAATCTAATGCAATTATGCAATCTAGGTTTTATGAATTACATCGCCCCAAAAAACTCTTTCTACAGTATGATCAATTTTTCTAACACTGATTGTGTGGTGGAAAAGAGTTTGAAGATAGACATGAGATGATAGAGGTGCAGAGAATTTTTATTTTAGAACAAGAATTAATTTCTCAACCAAGCGACTGAAACTTTTTAGAATATCATTTTTAACTCTTTACACTGGGTTCCATTTTTTAAATCAACATTGTTAATTCACCTAAAATTATAAATATAATTTTTTTCCTTTTTCAAGCACTATGTAATATTGCTCATAAGTATATATAGTTCTCCTTTTACACATATCAACTAATTACTAAGTGACTTGAGATGGTCTCAAGAAGGTAAAATATTTTACAAGATCCAAAATTTGTAACATAAGTTTCTTATTAAAACATTTTTCACGATTCAACTTATAATTTGACTAGCCCTAGGAATTCAATGAAGCCATTTTAATGTTGAATTATGACTATTTATATAAATGATATATCATATAAGAGCATGATTTGGAATATATATATACTTGCCTCTCCAACTAAGTGAATGATGTGTTCAATGACAACTGATATAGCAACCAGCACAAAACAGACAACTGCAACTGCCCAGGTTGGTGTTTGCTCCAAAGTAAGACCAACTTTTGAAGCCATCTATATATATATATATATATATCAGCTAAAGAGTTTTCGAAGCTTAAAGAGTTGGGGAGGTTCAAGATATAACAAAAATTCTAAAAGCTAGCTATGGCTGATAAATAGAGCAAACTCTTCAAGTCTGTAATGGAGGGTGAAAGAGAGAGTGAGTGTGTGTGTGAGAGAGAGAGAGAGGAGGTGATTGATTCATTGATGTCAAGGTTTCAATGAATATATATATATATATATATATTTTCTAGATAGGAAAGGAAGGTGTGGACTTTGTCTTGGAGTTTGTTAGGGAAATATAGAGGAAAGTGATGAATGACTCATGAGTCCAGATCCTCGGCCGCTGTTTCCTGCAGCGGTTTCAGCGGCTAATAAAAAACGACGTCGTTTGGTGTATATTTTATTTATATTTTTTGAAATTTTTTGGTCTCTCCTCTTCTCTTCTTTGTCATTTATTTTCTGCCATGGTTTTGGAAATGGTTTCTTCACTTCCAAACGGCAGATGATCTGGGTAGGCAAAGGAGCTTTGAAGCTTCTCTCTCCTCTACTCCTCTCTCTCTCTCTCCATTAACAATGGCAGATACATATGTATAATACGTATATATATATATATATTTCACTCTCTCATTGTCAGCAACCTCTTAGATTTAGATCCAAATCCAAATATTCAACACCCAAAGATAACATTACAAAACCCACAACCAGGAAAAACAACACAACCAGGATAAAAAAAAAGAGAGGATTGTGTAGACACCCCATTTTTGACCGCCCTTAAGACTTGGGCACTACTGATGGTTTACTTCGTGGTGAAAGGTGTGCAGGGCAAAAGTTCGATTTCTTCGACAAGAGGAGAGTCAAATCCTAACCTCACACCCCATTTTGGACCAAAGCTATTTTGAATGATTTTTAGACCTTAAAACCCTCTCTTTCAAAACCTTTTTGAAAATAAAGTTCCTACGATGTTCCGACGCTCGCATTTTGTTAAATGTTGTATTTTTTGGCAAACCGAGCAAGGACAAAGTGGAAATAAATGAAAGAGAGATGAAATATTTGAAAAATCTTTCAAAAACGCCTTATTTAGGGGTTTGGAGTTGAATAAAAGAGGAGAAGAGAGAGGAAATCCAGTCGAGGAAAGAGTTGGGCATGAATCTTTAAGAGAAAGACGAGAAGTCCTCGCCAAATCAGGCCTATCCTTTTGAATGCTTGGATTTCAGCTATGAGGCCACCACCGTTGGAAAGCTTACTTCCGGGGCTTCAATTTCCATTCAAGAATCTCCTCGAGCCATGTCCGGATGGGAGAGATATGGTTGTTGGAAGTTGGGCATCAATCTGGTTGGACTGAAACTGAGCAGTCTTCACTAAAAGAGGATATCTCTTAGCACACATGGAATTTTGAGGTGAGGCTGCCAAATTTGGAAAGAAGACTTCCGGGGCTACAGTTTAGGCTCAAGAATGACCTGAAAAGGCATCCAGATGAAGGATTTAGGCTTTCTTCAAAACAGGGACTAGGACTGATTTTTGTTGCCGGCCTCTATGGGAGTGTACCGGCCATGATTGGCCAATGCCGGCCAAAAGTGACCCCTGCCGGCCATCAATGAGCCACTTTCTACCATCACTGATGGCCGGCAGCACCCCTCTCTCAGCAAGTTTCATGGCAGATCTTTTGAGCCAGTTGGAATCCTTTAATTTCCCCTCCATACATGTGTATGGAGGGATGAAGCTCTTGCCAAGCTTGTTCAAGAAGCTTTGAATTGATTTTCCTCTATATAAGGAGAGGCCCTTACTCCCCAGCAAGGGTTTAGCATTTTTACAAGAGTTACAGCTCCCTCTCTCTGTATTTCTTGCTCTCTCTCTATATTGTTTGTATTTTGTGCTTAGAAGTTGGATTTCCTTGCACTTTTACACTACAACACCCAGAGGTACACCACCACCATTGGACAAAGCTTCTTGGGAGGTCTTCTTGAGGTCTGAAAGTGAGTTTCTACCCCCTGAAGTTGCTGGTTTCGAAGAGGGTCTTCCAGAGTAGGTATTTTTCCCATTTTTGCACTTTCTTGCACCTTACTTTAGCCCTCTTTGCATATTGATTTAGACTTTGCTTATAATTGAAAAAAGTCTTGTATTTAAGTCCTTTTTAAGTTTGTTTAAGGTCATTTTGCTGTTAGGGGTGTGTAGCCCTTTTGCATGATTTGTTTGGCTTTGTTTTAAGCCATGCCTTAAGGCCTCCGAGTTAGCCCTGGTTTGGCCTTCCTACCACTGAAATCCAGCGGATTTTCAGTGGTAAAGGTGTGGTTTTGAGGTCCTTAATTAGAGGGGGTGGCCCCCTCTCTTTTGGTTTCTCTTTGCTTGCATTTTTGGCCTTCCAAAGGACCATCCTTCTATGTATTTTTGAGGCTTGGTTCAGGCCTATTTTTGTGACTTTTAGGACCTGCCTTGGCCCTTTCCATGGCTGGTTTGGTCATATTTTGCTTGCATCTTGTATGTGTAGTGTAACTCCATTCATAGCTCATCAAAGTAGCATGTGTGCTTAGCTTGTGTTGAGTCCATTTCAGTGGGTTTTTGGTGATGTTTTTCCATGCCATGAATCTGTTTTGGGTTGGTTTTGTCACTCCATGATTGCATGATACACTTGTAGTGTAAATTCCCTAAACTAGCTTCATATGCTCCATGCTTTGCCATGTCATGTTAGCTTGTTTGGTTTACATTTCAACATGTATTTGGTCATCATTTGGCATGTCATGACCCTATCCATAGTTGGTTTGATCATCCTTTGCATGCTCCATATAGGTGTAAAACAAATCTTGTTTACTAGCTTTTTGTGCATGATGTTTTGACTCATCATCCTAGCATATTTTGGCTTTGCTCTAACATGATTTTATGCTTATTTTGAGCTGCTCTAGGACTGTTTTGGGCTGCCATGGCCATATCACTCATGCTTTGTATAGCTATAGTGTAAATGCTTAGGCTAGTCTTGGGTTTTGAGGCCCCTACCATGCCACACATGTGATGTTTGCATGCCTTGCCCTCATTTCACATGCTATTTCAGTCCATGAAATGTTTTCATACACTTGCATTTGACATGCTTTGAATGCTTTATAGAGCTTGTGCTTTATGCCTCAAGAATTGACTTTTGTACATGCCATTAAGCCTAAGCCTTTGGCTCATCATTTCAGTGCATTTTGGGTCTTATTATACCATGATATAACTCTATTTTATGTTGTCCAAGTCTTGTCACGATTGGTTTCAATAGGTGTAATGCATTGTCTCTTTAAAGCCTTGCATGCTCCATGTTTTTGGCTTTGTGTTCTAGCCTTTGTTGGCTAGCTTTGAGCTTAGTTTTGGTCTTGTTTGGACCTACCCTAGGACTATTTTAGGTCCCCTTGGCCCCTTGGGGCTTGCCTTGTATGGCCGTGGCTTAAGGCCCTTTGCTTACCTTGAGCTTTGAGCATCATGACATGCTATGTCTGCATGGTTGATTTGATTTGGCATCACTTTACATGAAATTTCAGAGCTTACCTCATTGTCATACATCCATGTTCGTTGCTCCTTAAGTGTGCTTAAGAGTTGTCCTCTTTGTGCCTTAATACTTGAGCCACTTGGCATACATGTTTGCCTTGCCATTTCATGCTTTTCATGCCATCAATTCATCACTTATGGCTACTGATTTGGACCTATTTGAGAGCTGTCTATGTTTGGTGTAGGCCCATCTTACCATGTTGTCGCATGCTTGTTTCATCTTGTATGTTGTTGCATACTTGTCCACCTTTGCGTGCCTTGCATGTTTGCATATCCATGTTGCATTTTGCCATGTTGTTCAAGGTTGTCACCTCACATCATGCCTATGTGCTTGTTGCATGTCATTAGCCTTGTTAGGTTATTCACATTGCATGTTTTCCATCCTTACGCGTTGCATTGTTTGGATTAAGTGTTAATCCGAACACGAGGAACGAGGGACATTTCATACTCCGAGTGATAGAACGTGTCTCAATTCTCGATCGCCGAAGCTCTTGATGATTCATGATAGAGTTCTAGGCTTTACTTGCTTTATTTGTGCATTCATTTTCATATTGATTTGCACAAGTTGGATCTTTGGCCATCATGCATCGAGATGCGTGATTGATGGTCGTGGATCTGACTAGGCCTCTCCCTTGATATTTTGAGATGATTTGGGGTGGCATAGTGCGTATATACCCTTGGGAGACCCTCCCATTCCTCTATTTTGTGTTTTGTTACAGTTTGGTGTCACAGCACACCAGTGGCCGGCAGTGCACCACTGATGGCCGACAGTGTCACACCCTTGACCGGCAGTGCCCTGTTGTTGGCGGCGTCTCTCCTTTCATGGCCGGCAGGCCACTGGTGAATTCCCCAGCAGTGCTTTGGTAAGTTGCAGCAACAAACACTGGAAGACACCTTGCAAACAGAGCTTGTAAAGAGCAACCGGAAGGCGTTCTGTGGCGAGGAACCAAAGCAAGCATGCATACTTTCCTTCTTCAAACAGAGCTGGAGCAATTCTTTTTTACTGCTTACTAGTTAGTTAGCATTTGTTATTTGTAATAATTAATTTGTTAATTAATTAAGTTGTGTAATAATTAGTTGTAAATTATGCAAAATTGATTTTTTACTGAAGTTTATTGTTTGCTTTGAAAAAAAAAAAAAATGTTCAATTTATCATGTTGAAGAATTTTGAGAGGGTTGATGTAGTTGTTATGTACTGTGGATTGGACTTTTGTTATGTGCTGTGGTTATTCCTGATATCATGTATGTATGAGTTTTGTTTACAGGGAGTTACATATATGGAATATAGGACTGCTATTTTGTGTTGCTGCTGTTTTGTTGTGTTTTTTTTTTTTTTTTGGGGTCGGGGAAACCTGATCCCTGGTAGGCACGGAGACGGAGACGGAGACGGTGATAGGTTCCTCCGTTGGGGATGGGGGTCGGGAACGGGGGCATTTTTACTATCGGGGATCGGGGATGAGAAGTGTGATCCTCGGCTCCGCCCGGCCTCGCTCCGTTGCCATTCCTACTGGACATGAGTGGAGTCAAAGACCGATCAAAAGTCATCCTAATCGAGGACCCATCGAGTAGAGAGAGGAGGATGATAAAGATGTGTAGGAACTCCAAGATCCATACCGTACATTACGAAATCAACGACATATCCACAGAGGTCGATAAGCTTGTGAAGCATGTTAGTGAAACTCTCAACT